ACATAATCAGCACCCATCACGCAGAACAGTTTCAGCACGTGTTCTTGTCTCTTTCTTTTGTTTGCCATTAATAACGTACCAAACAAAATTTAGCTGTTGGTAAAAGCAACCCGTGGGTTATTTTCCTCTATTCTGCTATCAATGACGAACAGAGTAGGAGAAAAAAAATGGTATATATAGTTGTTTTTTTTTTGTGTGGTTACTATCACATGTACACCTTGTCTGAAGAACAATGTCATTGGCAAATCATTACCTAAGAACACACATATGGCATCAGACAGAGTATTTTACCATAGACAGAATTCATGAAAAAATAAATATTATTTGTTTGCTTGAACTTTTCTTTGTCGTCACTATAATTTAGTCATATGCAACCGGTATCTACTTTTCACATGCATTTTAAAATAAGTCTTCGGAAAAAAAGACTTTTAAAGATTGTCCGGCATATCTTTTTATAGAAAGATCGATATTATACGATTTGAAGAAAATGACATCAAATAATAATTCATATACCTATTAAAATGGCCTCAATTAATTTTCAAATGATCTTTCGCTGATTTGATAAAAATAAATCGAATTCTATTTTGTTATTCAGAAGATTTTTTTGCTCATATAGAATCATTAATATGAATAATATCACATGTCTTTTATTGCATAACTTTGAAAATAATTTAATTTAATAAATCAAATTAAATAATATTATCGTAAATGATTTTGAAAGAATTTATGTCGATTTTGACTAATAAAAAATCTCAATAGAAAATAATTGTATAAACATTTTATTGATGATTGATGAATTATCATTTTGATATAGGAAAATAATTAATTTAATAAACTAAGTAGTAATATTTGAGTTGTATACATTAATAAAATACAACTGTAAGATTATAATTAATTTTGGTGAAACTCATATATATTTTTCGAAGAAAATAGTAGATTTAAATTTTAAGTTGAACTGAAATTAAAGACATTCATCGACATGAAAAACAATGCTTAGAAATGTGCTCGAAAATTCCAGAAACTTCCTTGAGATTCATATAGTTAGAATACGTCTTCTAATATTCGAAATTTACGCAGTTTCTGATTTTTGTCCAAATGAACGACTACATACATAGTAGGTATCACGTATGATGTTTTGCTTTCCCAGAAATGTTCATATGAGCAATATCAAAAAATGAATTGACTAAGTTCTAACTTTTTTTGAATAAACAATATCAGTTTTAATGTGCTTATCGAGCTACATAAAAGAGATCGTTAAGATGCGCTGTAGATGTAACGATGGATAAAAAAAGACTTATTCATCTATTGATAATAAATTGTTAAAATTAAAATAAAAAAACCAATAAAGATTTCTGCATTCATAGTATTACGATAAAAAAGGAAGTATCTTTGCATTGGTTCAATTCTTTGTGCTAAATTTTTGGTTGATGGTAGAAGTTTGTTGAAAGCTTTTATTTACCATAAGAATAAGATAAATAAATATTACTACTATTAATTATTATTATTGATATTATGAAATCAGTTTTATTTTTTACCAACTAAAAGCTGTATTTGTAGGTTTTAATAGATAATTTTCAATTGCTATCCGAGAAAATAATAAGAACAAGTCAAACCGAACTTTATGTTTGATTCTCTATATTCATGCGTATAGAATAAGCTTTTAGAACCAATTATTTAAAATGTTGAAATTCGTACTATATAAGTAAAACATACGATGACAACTCTTTGGATATCAGCACACCAACTTTCTTTTAAAGACAAGTGTTCCCATGGATGGGTGAGTGTGGATGTGTCTCTTTTCTTCTGATAACTTTCACATGTACACATCCTCAGAGGTAACTACACCACGCACCCACACCCAGTCTTTCTCTTGACGAGTTCGCAAGTAAAAATATGCTCAGAAATTTTTGGGGAGCTTTCAATTGAAGCAAATTTAGTCAAATTTCGGAAGAGAATAGAATATGATACACATCTTTGTTATATTTTCAAGGATATTAGAAAAACCTATGAATATTACACACCGACGGATAGTAGTTGTGCTTCATTACACACTACAGTATTTACGGAAAGAGATGTATGTTGTAAGATCAATACAGTGATCATCTAAACAAAAACTAACCTTGGCATTTATGAAATGCAAAGAATATAAACAAACTGAAACTGCTCACAAATCGATTACTGTTTTTTTTTTCGTTTGAGTTACACATTTGAATATATTATCAAAAAAACCTGAATGATAAAAATGATTTGAGGCAAACATTTAATACTTCATTGTCAAAAGACGTTACTACGAGAGTAATACGTGCGACGGCATCTGAGACTTGCTCAACAGTCGTAGAAACCGCCATTAGAGAATAAAATCTGTCACTTTACTCATACATTCGTAGGATAACACCACACACAATGTCGTTATTCATTCTAATGAAAGGAGGGTATTACACTGAATGAGCTATATTTGTTCGTTCACTCATTACAGCACCTGACAAAGTTTGACCAAAGGTAATCGGGGCCGAGATATCCGAGTCTGAAATCGGTTTCTCGAATTTCGGTACCCAACTTTCACAGTACAGAAAGAATTTTTGAGAAAAGAGCGATATTTTATTAAGGCTAACGATATTAAATAGGGTGGAGAAGGCAAGTAACATATTCAGACGTGGTAGTGTGGTTGTCGGCTGGATAATTTCAGTAACATAAAATATATTTGAGATTTTTTCAGACCGTAACTTCAGCCAAATAAGTATTTTCGGTGTTCAGCTATCACAGCATCCATGTCTGCAAGCATTGCTAACACTCAAAGGCTAGTTTTTAGGGTGTAGGTGTGGGTTAACAGTCAAGCGGCATAGACACCCATGCCCACATATACCTTGTGCACTCAAGCGTGGGGCACATTAAAATTCAACACAAACACCTGCAGACGAGGGTACGAGTGTAGATGGAATCCAGAAGATCTGCTCCACTCTCTGATGTTCAATGCATATTTTTTCGTTGTCTCTTGATGTATTTAGTCTGGATTTATATAATTTATTGAAAGAAGAAACAACAAATACTATGTAGCAGAAGAGCGATATTTTATGTCATTATATGTACTGAACAAAAGAAATGAAGGAAATAGAAAACTAATAAGCATATGTACATTGCAAAAGAGTGAAGAAAAAAAATGAAAATGTTAATCAATTCTTGTTTTATGCATCAGTCATAATATTTAGTTTCTTATATTTCAATTGAGCGAATGTGCAGTTCTCTAGTCCTCATCTGCATAGTGATGAGTGTATTTGTAATCATGGCATTTTTTCATATGACCATGATGGCCATAATATTTAGCAGCAGTTTTTGCGCTAACTGCTTGTTCTTTCAATCGATTTTGCATGTTTTCTGCCATACGGACTAACATCTCAATCATACCTTTCTCGTCATCTAAATGTTCGACTTGTTTCAGGAGAGTAATTTGCTCAGTAATGAGTGCAATGGCATCGTCTCTCCTATTACTGTCTATCAATTGAGCAATTCTGTCATCCATTTCTCCTGCAACTTGAACAGCATGTAAGGTTTTAACTCTTGGATCAATTTCTTTAATGAGTGATTCATCGTTAACAAATATTACTGATAGTTTACCAGTAACTGTTAGAGGTTCTTCTTCAACATGACCCGGACGATGGTACGTCAATTGATAGTCGAGAGCATCAACTTCTGTACCTTCGGGTACTGTTCCAGAAACTGTAAAATCACAGAGAATAACACGAAGGTTATCGACATGAAGATCGCCAAGATTTGCACCCAATGCAATATTTTCATGGCCCCATATTTTTGTTACAATTGTATTATTACGACCGCGAATAATTAGTTGAGTTTGTGTTCCACAAACATCGAAAACACTCTGTAGTGCTTTTGTCATTAATGTTACAATGACTTCAGCCGATTCAAGGAAAAAGAATTGACCACATCCAGCTTCAGCAATACCTTTCATAATTTCTGCATCAAAATCTTCTCCAACACCAAATGAATCAATTATAATTCCTTTTTCATTATATTTCTTAACAGCCTTCATAATTTCTTCTTTTGTTCTTAATCCAACATTTGCTAATCCATCTGATAATACGAACATACGTTTGGAATATCCAGGATATGCATATTTTTCAAAAAGATTGGCGCCTGTTTCAATAGCACCAGATAAGTAAGTTTGACCGCCACTTTTAATTCCTTCTACAACCGAATAAAGAACTTGACGAGCTGATGCACGTGCATTTTCAAAGATGTTCCATATGTTATCATCATAGGCAATTAGGTGTACAACATCGTCATCATGAAGCAAATTAAGTACGGAGATAACAGCTTTTTTTGCGAATTCTAATTTATTGTTTGATGCCATTGAACCACTACGATCAAGTACCAATACCAAATTGATTGGATTTCGTTTAGTTATTTCAGCATTTTGTTCGTTTGCCTTTGTCTCAATTTCTATTCGAGCTCTTTTCGTATTCACTACACCAATAATTGCATAGGGATTATCCGGAATACAACGAATGTTAACTGAAGCCATATTGTCAGTGCTCATAATTTTTTTATCGTGGTTTTTCAATCTATAATATTAAAGCAAAAAAAAATCAATTAAAACAATCGTTTCAAGTGCGATTCGTAGCCAAGATTGATACTACCACATCCGTCCAATCTATATGCATACCATAACAAAGTATATAAAACTGAACGATTCAGAATAAAATGAGCGTTATTTTCAGAAGTTTTTAAAGAAAGAAATTTCTCCTATAAATCATCAGATTTCAGACATAATTAAACAAGAAGAAAGAGATTCGTTAAAATTAGAGAAATCATGGAAAATTTCGTCAAACGGCTATGTTATGCTAGACTAATTTTTGTAATTACGTAGAAGTTTATCAGTAGTTACACAAGTTGTGTCTGATAGCTCGGTAAATTTTACAAATTTCATATAGGTTTCCGTATTTTTTTCACTTATTTTAAATGAGAAAAATGCGACATCAAATGCAGAAATCGCAATCTTAAATGAAAGCAATGTTGCTTAAGACCTTTAGATACCAACAATCGAATCAAGAGATTGATTCAAACGTCAGAAAAAAATAAAGAGTGTGAATTTTCTCTGAGTATTTGACCAAAAAATTTTCATAATTATTTTGTTGATTTTTTATTTTCATTGTAAAAATACTGAATGCATATAAACAAATGAAAAAAATGATCGAGAGCTATGAAAGGAATGGAATCTTCACCGTATGTTCTCATATTAAATTCTGACATCATCACTAATATAAATTTGTAATTTCTCTTTTTTAAAGTCTCATTTTTCTCATTGAAACTGGAAACATGATAGATATGTTTACTTCTAAGAAATCATCAAAATGTTTATAGAAAAAATTTAGAAATTTGATTGCATAACTATGATCAATCATAGAATTGAGCATTATTTGGAACAAAATCGCCTTGATCTATTGCTGTTTCGAACAAGGATATGTTGAAAGCAAAAAAAGTCACCAAACAGTATGATTCATACAACTATTTACGAAAGCAAATTGTTTTCTATTCTTGCAACATTATTCTTATCAATAATGTAACCTTGACGTTAAACTATGTTTTACTTTCTTTTGCTTTCGTTCCTTTGGACATAAGGTCACTAAAGAAACTAAAATATATACTTTACATATTGTCTTCAATCATTCTTTGAAACTATTATTCAACAGATAGATTAATATTATTCTGATACACAATTCGATATGATTGAAGTCAAATGATGACATACTCATTTAAGAACTCTATTCGGTCGATAAAGAGTTGAAATAGCTTCTTTCACAGGTTTCGATCTCTAGCAAAAAAAAAAGGAAGAAATTGAAAAAAATATACGAACAACGATTCAAAGATTAAAACCAATGCTCACTTTTGTGCGTTCCTTTTTTTGTTAATGATGTATGATAAAAAGTAAAGCGCAACTCCAACTTTTCTTCCTTTTATATGATTCATACAAATTGCATAATTATGTCGCAATTATGACAACATAAAGGCAAGAATACACGAAAGCATTCCTTTTGTAACAATCCACATGCATCATAGTAACATGAGTCATTTGATGAGAGATAACTGTTTGTAAAAAGAAGGTATTGCAATTTTATTGAGTATTCGACAAATGATTCGTTGTTTAATATGAATTTCTCCTGTTTCTTATGTGCATCGTTTCATCAGAAGTATATCATATTTTAGTGATCAATGTGTGGGTGTGGGTCTAAGAGAAGAGAATATCAACACCAACACTGATACACCTACACCCACATCCAGGATAACGAGATCTAATATACTTTCACTCATACGCACACATATACACCTAACACTAACATCCATACACTCAGTAGAAATCAATATATACAGGGTGACCCAAATGTCACGCACCCGAAAAAAAATTGAATATCTTTATTACGACTCGACCAAATGGGCTCGTTTTTTACCAAAGATAGAGGCATGTTCACACTCCAAATCCACACGGACAAGGTTAGTGAGAACCTTTGTTAAGTATCACGATTGACCTCAACAAGAAAATTTTACTTTTTCAAAGATCGGAAAAAACAATATACTTAACAAAGCTTCTTACTACCCTTGTCAAAATGGATTTGGAGTGTAAATATGCTTCTATCCTTGGTAAAAAGAATTAGCTTGTTTGCTCTAGCCGTAATAAATATATTTAATTTTTTTTTCGCGTGCGTGACTTTTCGGTCATCCCGTATTATAAATGTCAGTGTGTCTCGTGTAGTATACCTTAAATCACTGTGTACGTTCGAAAAATTAAAACTTTGTTGTTGTGCCTCTCAAAGAAAATATTTCTAGTATTTCTCTTCCGTGGAAAATCGTTTAATGAATTCACTGCTGTTAAAAACTACATCGGCATAAACGTCACGATAGTCTAATGATTGGTAAGATAGAAAATTCTTGTAAATTCAATTTAAAGTCAGATACTTTAAGATTTTTTTTTCCGAAATACGTAAAAAAAAAACATCAACAGCTACAGATAAATACAAACATTTCAGAATTTATTATGATTAAGAGGTTACGGTTACCAAACAATGAAGTTACTAGGTAAATCCTAATGTAACTCTTATGCGACCCTAACTTCTCAGAGACTTAAAAAAGAATAAATAAGTCTCATAGCTTTTACGATTTTTGCTTTGAAAGTGCAAAAAGAAATGTTTCGAGCAATCAAGCAGACATCAATTTTTATGTGTTTCATCAATTCTAGAGATTAAAATGAAAATTTTTATCAGATCGATTCAATAAATTTGATTTCTGATCAAAGTCATAAAATAACTTCGATCGAAATGTTCGTTTTAATCCATGAAATCGAAACTCATGAAAATTAATGTTTGCGTCATATATAATAATACCTTTTTTTATTTCTACATTCCCAAGAAGATACGTATGCACAAGTTAAAAAAAGAAACAAATGTGGGCGCGGTTCGATTCGTTTCGAGTTTTAACTAAATCGATACAGTTTGGATCAATGCATAGACATACAAATTTAGAGACAAAAGAAAAAGGAAATTCATAAGGAACAATGAAAATATTCATAGCTCTTCTTCATCTAAAATAAAGAGAACGTAAACAAAACCAATGATGTCCTTAACTGGAGAAAAAGCATTCATATATTATGGTCAATAAAATCGAAATCAATATAATGTGAATTTATACGTATCATCAACTGGACCCCGCTTGGATAACAGAAGATTACAATTGTTATACTATGTCCAAGAAGAAAAATGTTCCAAAGGAATCTTATATTCTACATTTTTAATTGCTAATAATTAAAAAGATTTCTCAGGCAACCGTAAAATTTTGAAGGATTTGAACGAATTTTTCAGGATTAAAAATGATGGAAAAATAATCTTTTTAACTTCAGTTGTCACTGATTTTTTTCAATTTGTAAATTCTAAAAACTACGAATATTTCTGAATAAATGTATTAATTAAAACTATTTCTTACCTGATTAAGTAGTAAAGGGAAAGTATTCTATCATATCCGTAGCATTACTCCTGTAGAAGAACCTTCTCTATCATAGGAGAATATATTGAAGTGATAATTATTTGAATTAAGACAAATGCATTCGAGTAAATATTAGTTTCCATTATCTTTAATGAAAAATTTTTTTTTTTAATTTGTGTTTCAGTTCGGTTCAGTTTGAATTTGGAAAAAACCGAAACGATTTCATTTCTACTACAAAGTGAAAATTAAAACGATTTAAAGTCTCATGATAAATGATCTTATTCAGAAGTTGCATGTGACTCTTATCAAAAAGTCTATAAAATTGTTCGCCATTTCTTGATGAAATGATGTAAATCTCGTTTTCTGTTTTCTTGACGATCACATTTTCAGAAAACTAAACGCTCGTTAATAAATTNATGACGTCATAAAACGTGACGAGAGAGTGACCAATAGAAAGTTCCAGAATGTACCTGACCATTGAACAAGAATTAATAATATTTGCATTGTCTGTAAAATTATAGATTTAGTCTGAAAGGATGTTAGAACTAAGTCTAAGAGAGAGTTGCTCTATATATTATTAAAGACGAGACGTTATACTATATATTGCCTTAGTAAAATATTGAATATTTATTGCTTTATTAAATTTTAAAAACTGTGATCAGAACTTTTGGTATACCCTAAGTAACTTTGAATCCGACTCCGAAAGGTTTTAAGGGTAATTTCGATTCCTACTGTGAAAAGATTCGAAAATGTTTTCGCGTAAATTAGCGACGGATTCAATTGATAGCTGTATTATAGAATGCTAATAGATAGATAGTATGAATGTAAGACAGAAAATTCAAGGTGATTGAGAGTGTGGGTATGGCTTCTAGTCTTCTTATCACCGATACTCACACCGATTTGAGGGTGAGGAAGATGTAGATGTAGGTGTTTGTGTTTCTGTTATTTTTTAGCACGAGACAACCACAGCTACATCCACTTTTGCATCGGAAAATTGCCCAAAAATGCCACCGATTGTTCTATCATAAATTTAAAATAGGTATAGAAATGGATCTGTTTTAGTGGTGAGCACTTGAATTTCATGATTCTTCAATATTTTCGCTTAGTGTATGGGAAGAACCAAACAAATCAAGCAGATTACTGAGAATGCTATACTTTTTCTCAGTTACTCTCATCAATCAAGTAAAACAAGAACTAACATTTCAATGTTTAGATCTCGAAAGACGTAATAATTGATATATTTTAAATAAAGTTGAGCAAACATTAGCCAATAGTCGAACAGGAAAAGCCAGATTACTATAAGAAATTTTTGAATTCGGGGTGGGTGTAGATGTGGTCTGGGCATGATTAAGAAGACCGACACCAACTCTCAATGCCCACACCCACCCCTTTACGGAACAGACAACTGATTATAGAAAGAAGCGATTGAAAGATATAAGCGGAAAACTATTGATATTAATCAAACAATGCAACATCTCAAACGAGGTTTAAAGTGATACAAAAAAGGTAAAAGAATCATAACAATAAATATTAAAAAAAGGGTTCGGTGTGGAATAACGTTAACTTTATCGAATCCTTTCTCCATTGACATGCACACGCATAACTATATTATCGGCATTGATAGACGAGAAAATATCGCATGACAATGATTTAAGGTCATACTAGATTTGATCTACTGATATCTTTTTAAAACTCATTTATTTATTTATCAAAAATTGATCAATCTATCAAGTCAACGAATGTCCTTCTCAGACTCAGTCAGGTCGATCGTTTCCGTTTGCGACCTCGTCCCACTTTAGATAATTCGCGTGTGCCTTCATTGAGCCATATTTGAACACATTTACGATTGTTATATACGATGAAGTGCCGTTGGTGCCTCACAAGCCATTCGATCATATTTGGTAACGCAGCTGGATTATGGTCGCGTTGTTCAAATGTGATTGTAGAAATATCTCGAACATATTTTAAAGTCAATTTCATACAATCCACATTGATCAAGTTCAATTTGAGATGACAAATTCGACGAGATACTATTGAACCAAGAGTGGCTATTCTCGATTCGAAATCATCGTTAAATGATAGGCCGAGTGTTCGAATATTCGATGTTTCTTGAAGAAGACTTTCGATTCTGTCAGATTCCAATATACCGTTGTCTTTTTCCAGTAGCCAAACTTCTTGAATTCGTGAAAGATCGATCAATGTCGAAAGATGCTCGACTGCATTGATTGGCCATGGTTTATTGACTTCGAGAGCAAAACGAATTATATTACGGCACATATCTTGATCGGGTAGTTCGAACTAGAACACAAAAAACAGAATTGTCAAATATGAAATGTCAATTCTTCTATGAGTATTACATTCGAGGTTGATCAAAGCATCGGTTACTGAAGCAGACTTTGATGTTTGTTCTATAATTTCTGAAAATTATTTGGAATCAAAGCTAAGCATCAAGAAATCTTATTGATCGAATAATCTTCAAATCTAGACGCATGATGGCCAAGCTTGTCTTCCAAACATAGCTTGCTCTAAAGCATATTTTTTCTCACTAGATCTTGATCCACTATAAGCTCTGGGCAGAATAAAAAGAGATGAACGACAGGAGCCTTTTTTTTCTACAAGCACCGTTGATCTAAAACCAATCTGTAATTAGTTCGGAAATCGCTCGCAGCAAATTCAAAAAATACGGAGATATATCCTTTTGATCAGCTATATTTACTCGGAAATCGTCTTGTTCACAACAAAAATGGTTTGAACTACCGAACAACATCTAAAAGATTTTGCTTTAGTAGCGTCTCAACTTGGCGAAACCTTAATTAACAGATGAAGAACGAAGGAAAGAGGTTTTCTATATATATATTCATACATACCTTATTCTTAGTAATCGCATCCATCATTTTTGACAAATTGATCCGAGCACTCCACATATTGCTTCCATTCACTTGAGTCTCATAACTGGTCGTCGTAATGGCATAGGATATCTTGCCAGAATTGATATTATGAGGAAACGTAGCATTCTGATATGTTGATGAGTAAAGAGCGAGAGTTTTAGTCCAATAATGATCTGTGCATTGACAAGTGACAAACCAGCGTTTTTCTTTTAGCCAGAATATGCTACAAAATGGCGATAGAATCGATTCAATATTTGGAAATTTTGAACTCTGCATACAAATGTAAAAGTCGAATTTTTTCAAGTGTGGTAGTGTCTCACGGATGAAGTGTTCCCATTGAGAAAAACGTTGGAAAAATTCCCATGAACAAAGCGATTTCGTAGTCAATACAAGAGAAACGAGACAAGGTTGTAGCGAGAGAAAGAGTTCTAGATCATCGATGGACATTTGAATCTTTTGCAACGTAAGAGAAGTTAACGATTGAAATGTAGTTGGACGAAGTGTTGTAACTATATTCTGCATATTGCTCTTATTCAAGACTAATGATCGAAGATTCGGTGATCCATCAAGGATAGAACATAATTGCTCATATGTACAATGCCGAAGTGTCAATTTTTCTAATGTATTAGAATTTGGCCATGCTATTCTATTGATGATTTGATCGTAGATATCTAAATTGAGATCATGGATATTCGGTAGAGAAATCACCTGTTCGAAAAGACCTACTAGATCATCATGCCATAATTTGTGTACGTTCATTCGTACTGTTACAGATGTGAGAGTAGAGATTGTCATCAAAGGTGTGATAAGTGTTTGAAAATCGTATTCGTCAATATCGCAGAGTAACAACGACTGAAGCCTCGTAAGTTGATGAAGGTAAATTGATGAGAGAAAACATTCGATGATATTGGAATTGAAATATGAATTTTGTAGAGTCAATTTAATGATATTTTCCGGTTGAACCATGCGACACAATCGTCGAATGTTTGCTCTTGATGTTTGATAAGTGAACTCGATTTTCAATCGATCATAATTATTAGCAATTGAATAAAACCGTTTACAGACAAGACGAAAGGAAAAGTGAATATCTTCAGCATTGAGTAGATCCAACATTCGATGAAGAAGTTCGACAGGCAAAGTTTGCATTGACATGTCTCAATGTGTAATGTTGCAATCAGCGTTGAGTTGAAATAGAAAGAATAAAAGTGCTGACGACAGGGTTTTTTTCTCTTGCTTTTCTTCTCTTTCGTCGGTCTGTCTCGCGTGTCGACGAGCTTACAGCAATGACATGTATCATTGTTTGCTTCTCAAAAGCGAAGTATTGCTATGGATTGAGCAATAACTGATAAAATATTACAGAACCGAAATTATGTCGAATAGAAGGCCGCCTACTGTGTTGGGTGTGAGTGTCAAAGAAAGAAGAACATAGACCAACACCCTCACTTTGATCTTTGGTCTGTATCAGAACGTCATAGATCAGATCGTGTGATATCATACCTGTAACGTCCATCATCTAGATGTCACGCATGTAAATGCCAATTCACATACATTGACCATGATGTCTCGCACTCTCGCCATCGATGACTGAAAACTCGCTCATATTTTCTGGGAAGAAACCTGACTTGAGGGGATCGGTGGCGAGGAATCTGAAATCAGAGCTCGTTTACATTTAATCATGTAGTAAATTCTACTAGTAGTAAGGATTAGTAATAAATTAGTATTTCCAGTAAAACTTGATCAAAGCTAATTCAAGGCGAGAAATCGGAATCCGAAGTTCATAGATAATGTAATTGAATTCATTATCATGACCACCACAGAGAATATCATTATGAAAGAAAACACGAGCATCTAGAACATCAGGACTAAAAGCATAACAAACAACAATAAGTTGTTTTTGCTTGTCGATGGATAAATAAGACCAGCTGTTGTAATTTGTGAAAAGTTGAATGTTTGAACCATGATTGTAATCAATCGTCGTACAAACACAATTCAAATAATGTATCAAACATGCAACATTATTGTTTAGTATTGTCACTGTTTTGTCGAAATGTTTTAAAGTAAGTAAGAAGCTTTTGAAACTTGACAGAGTGCGTGAGGATGTGACGAAAATATTGAAAAAGCAAAGTTGAAAGAATAAATCACACTGTATTATTCACACGCTGTCTTTCTTTTTACAGTATGTGACATGGAACGTATATTAAGTTTCATTAGTGTACTGTGTACTTTATTCATATGGAGTATATTCTGTCATTAGAAACTTTGAGCGAGTTCCAATCCAAGCATACGCCTAGTAACGGGTCTCATGATATGTGAACGACACTGCATGAATCTGATGACAAAAGGAATACGACATACTTCGAAACTCTAGGGTTTCGGGTGTATCTCTGGGACTATGGTACTGTAGGAGGGTTGCATTACGTGTTCTCTTTGAATTTTCGCAAGTGACAGTCTAATTCTAGATTATAGGATCTATAAATTGTTTGATACAGGATTAGACTGAGATATGAGTCTTGACTGAAATCTGAGAAAAACTATGGCATTACTTTCCAATTGTAGTTACATAGCGTGCATTACTACACAGATTTCTGACTTCCCTAGTTGGCTAATGTACAAAAAAAATAAATTTAAAACCGATAAACTTATCAGAAAAAAAATTTGCACGAAGTGTTGAATTAGTGTATGTACACGACATCTAATCAATGGGTTGCTTGTTCAAGTCTGATTGTTATCACTTACGGTAACTATTCAATCCATTAGCCAGATAGGCTAACATCATCACAATATGATGTCAATGGCGGCTCAGTTCGAATCTGATGTGGATTGAGATTTAATCTTTAACTTTTTAAAATTTCATTTGAAATACGTTCAGATGCGTTTCAAGTTAAAAAAATATTTATAGGGGATGGCATTCGGGAAACCGCAAAACATTGACTTAAAACTTTCAATCACTATTTTCTTCAAACATATATGTAAGTCCCACAAAACAAATAATCTTTTATATAAAACTCTACTATAGAAAAAAATTGATTGGTTTTTATTTAACTTGTGTAATGATGTTACATTTTTTCAGGTATGACAAATATTGCAAATTGACGAATATTTGATTAGATTGTAGTGATACCATATAAATAAATCGATTGACATTATTCTTTATCATCCATATTCGAGATTTTTTGATGCATTTCAATATTTTCAGTCAAGTTATTTTTGTTTGTTGTTTTAAAAATGTAAATGCCAATTAAAGACAAAATAAGAATAATAAATATAGAAGAAATTGTTGTAGCTAATATTATTTTCCATTTTTGATTACTATTTGATGATTGTTCTATATTGTTTGTACTCGATACAATAGTTATTGATGAAGTCCGTGTCATTGAAGTAATATTCATGATTGTTTCGATTTTAGTGGTCATTAAGCTTGTCATTATAGTGGTTTGAGTTATGATGCTTGAATTCATAGATAATGTCGATTCGGTAAATGGCAAAGTAGTTGTACTATTTAAAAATGATTCACAAAATAAATCAATATCTGCACATTGTTTAGTTAATAATTCCATAATTGAATTATTCGATATACAAATTGGACGTTGTTCTAAATCCAATGAATCTTTATATTTAAATAGAAAACAATTACATGGATGATCAATATCGATAATTAAATTTGTTTGATTCAAAATATGAAAAATTGGTTTTGATAAACAGTAATCAATATCAGTTAATCGAATATCATGTAAAATTATATTAGGTCCTGGTGGATAATTCCAATAAATAAGTGTATCGTCACTATTATTAGCATTTATTTTTCTATAAAGCCAAAATTTGTCTGTCTTAGGAATAGTTGATAGATCCAGATTATATAATTTTTCAAGTTTTGTTATAATAAACCAATTAATTTCAAACAAATTACTACAATTAGAAAATGATAAACTTGAAATTGTTGATGCAATATTATATAGAAATGAATTTGTTTGATCGAATGATGAAAATGGATTTCCAGCTAAATTTAAATAATTAATAATTGTTTCATTAAAAGCCAGTGAATGTATAAATTCAATCTGATTATAACTTAAATCAATTGATTCAAGTCTATTTGCTTTACCAAAACTAAATTTGTCTAATTTTTTAATTTTATTACAACATATTGTTATATTATCTAAATTTAACATTTCTTTTAATGAATATAAATCTTCTATTTGATTATTTGATAATGAAAGAAGAGCCAATGATTGATTTAATGGGTATAAAAATGATGTTTTTGTATTATCATTTGTTATTGTTTCAAGTGATGTTAACAAATTATTACTTAATTCTAAATCAATCAAAGATAATCCAATAAATGCATCAACTGATATTTGTTTTATTCGATTATTAGATAAATCTATACTAACTAAATTAATCATATTTGAAAATATATTTGATTTAATTTCTTCAATAAAATTATCATGCATAATTATATATTTCATTTCTTGAAATTTTATCATTGATGGAATATCAATTAAATTATTAAAAGATAAATCTAAATCAACAATAGATGTTGAAATAGTTTCAATAAGAAGACTTGCATTTTTCAATGAACAATTTACTAATGATATTTCAGTAAATTCAATTGTAGATGATTCATTAGATATGAAATATATTTCATCAGAATTCATAATATTCATTTCATAGACTTGTATATGATCCATTGATTTTAAATTAAATTTATATGGAAGATTATATATATGAGTATATTGTATATTATAAATATTTATTTCAAAATATTTTGCTTGACCAAATGCATAATCAGCAAGTTTAAAATTTCGTGGTGATGTAAATGTCAGATCGACTACTATATCGGAATAATAATTGAGCTCTTTAAGAGCATTTTCTCCTATTTCATCAATACCATTAATGAAATTGAAATGTAACCATTCAATAGAAGGAAATGTCAATGTGAAATTAGTAAATGTTAAAGATGTTAAATGCGTTAAATTTACAAAATCAAATGAATATTGACGATGGTCAACTGAAGTGAATGCTGCCCAATCTACATAACTATCATATGTTTCATTTTTTGCAATGCACGTAACAGATCCCATTTGATCATTACAATAACAAGTTAAAACAGAATTATTCAGACAAATATTTTGTGATTTTATTAAATTAATGATTAATATCAATTGAATAACACAGAAAAATAATCTTAATATTTTCATTTCCCCAGGTGTCTCAGAATAGAAACAAACTTTCATTTTTATACCTTAACCATTACAACGCACAATTTATCATTATCTTTGTATGACAAACAATTCTTTCTTACAGTCAATATGATGAGACATTAGTCCAGGTAGATAATATATATATCAAAGTTTCTCATCAACAACATAACATTGGTGTACGTTGATAATTTAACTTAGAATAATAATTTTTTTCTTCTTCTTATTTATTTGTGTCAGTTGTACAAGAAAAGAAGATGAAGTATTTCGATAAAGCAAGAAGATATTAAAAAAGAAAAGAAAATTTTCCACGAATATAAATCTTTTCGTTTTCATCGTCGTTCCCAATGAGTTTCTATAAATAGACGAACAATAATATTGAATGGCACCATTTGTATTTGAATTTGTTTAAATTTGTAATGCTGTGGTGATGTATGTTTGCGAAAGTACCCCTCATCGTATTTCTTTTCTTTCTTATTAGTAGCAGAAGTAGTTATTATGGCCACTTTACCAGATATCGATATTTTCTTTTCGCCATCCTTAATAGCACCAACAGCAACAGTTTGGCGCATATCACGTACAGCAAAACGATCCCATGGTGGATAAACAGCAAGTTTTTCAACACACATTGCTTTCATTGGAACCAAGTTAATCAATCCTTTGGCCAACAATCGGCTAGTTTTATCTAATTTGTTATTTGACACAACATTATTTTTCAAACTATTCAGAAAAAAATTAACAATGTGTATAGAAGGATTTTTTGTCAGAATAAAACTTCGCTTGTTTTTCTTATTTGTTTGAAAAAGCTGTCCGAAAGCATACGAAACTTTGTTCTCTTCGTCTCGTTTCTTCACTAGTAGTCGAAATGGGTTTATCACACGAGAACGAACCTATCTAGGCAATATTTCAAATATAGACAGAAGAACTTTTCAAGTGGCTCAAACATCGATGAAACAATACCATAGTTGCAACAATCCATCGAAACAAACAGAACAAATCTTCGAATAAAACTGAGAAAACGACGAGAATGTACCGGTTAGGCTCTCGGTCAATTGTGATATCTACTCACACTCACATACAACAAGGTATTTATCAGTGTTCAAGTAGATTGATTGACGAATTCGATACGGTCGACAAGATACTCTGTATAGATGGAAAAGTGATTTTTCTTAAAACATTCAAGAGATGTTTCTCGTTTAAAATAAGATAAAATGTATTTTTCAATGAAAGGTCTAGCGAGGAAAATCTTTTGAAATATTGAGATTGACACTCTCATTGATGTCTATCATATCATTGAACTCTCATATTTACAAGTAATTTGTAAGATTTAATCTAAATATTTGACAGGTCGTTTTTTTTCATTTGATCATCGCTTATAAGCTTCAATTTGTTCTACAGTCGAGACATCAATAGGGAATAAAATTATAATTTATATATTTATGATCTACATGTCGTTTTCATTCGTCATCGTCAATAGAAGAATAATTTGAGTAAGAAAAGAAAATGATTGTTTCGATTATGTGCGCGACTGTCCACAGTCACAATCGTCCTAATAAGAAGAAACATGGAAAAAACTTGATGAGTAATCAATTGACATAGAGATTGAAAAAGAAGTGAAAGTCTACGAATAAGAAAAAATAACAATTGAGCGAACAGAAGGACAAATTCAAAAAGGAACGCCAAGTGATTGTAGAATGAACTTAATCGACAAAATCACATTGATACTTCAATTTGAGAAATTTCACACCATTGATAAAAAAATGTCTGGGTGTGGGTGTGGGTGGGTGTGAGGTGTGGCTATGGGTGTAGAATGAAAGCATACCCACACCTCACACTCACGCGCACACTCACACACAGTCGCAGCCACACCCATACCCTTTTTGGAACTGTATTTTGGCCAGAACAGAATAATCAGCTAAAATCTAGGAAGAAACATAATTTACACATTGAAAGACAGAAATTACGAAGAATCCTCATGAACAGATACATTTCATTGCATCCACTAGGTCCCCAAGGTATCCAATGGGATCATCGTATTGTTCAGATTGACCGTGTCTCACAGAAAGTTTCATTCACCAATGGCCATACAGTAAATGGTGTTGATTTGGTTATTGGCGCTGATGGAATCAACGGTCTAGTACGTTCTTTCAAATGTGATCCTCTTGCAGATACCCCACTTAATTATTTGGGTATATTGGTGGTATTGGGTATCACTGGACGCATTGATCATTTCCTTACAAAAGACCGTGCATTTCAAACGATGGATGGATGTTTTAGGCTTTTTGCTATGCCATTTTCGAAATCCAGATCAGAACAGTCCATAATGTGGCAGCTTTCCTTCCCTGTAACCATAGCCATAGCAACCCAATTATCACGAGATCCAGGGATGTTGAAGCAAATGCTACTGGATAAATGTGCTGATTGGCACTCACAGATACCTGAAATGATCGAAAGAACACAACTCGATCTGCTTATGGGAATACCAGCATTTGACAGAGATGTAGTAGCAATTCCAGATCGAAAAAAGGACGGTATTCAAATTGCACTTGTTGGTGATGCTGCTCATCCAATGTTTCCTTTCAAAGGCCAAGGTGCTAATCAAGCTCTTCTGGATGCTGTTGATCTAGCAGACATTATTGCACAGAACAATCTAGATTTGCATTCAACAATCAGGCAGTATGAAGATCGAATGCTAAAGCAAGTCTACACAAAGGTCATGCAGTCCCGAGAACGTGTTACAAGCTTCAATAGACCGGAAGCACTTTCAACAGAAAATTTTCTATACCGTGGCGTTGGTGAAGGAGTGATGAAGAGGCTGAATAGCCTTGGAATAAATGCCCATTGGAACGATCCGAACGTATCCATGAAACAAGCCATAATTGACAAATTAGATGGTAAACAATAAACTTTTTTATATAGATTACTTAGATTATGAAGGATACATTAAATTTCATTGATAAATAGAGTTTGACGATCTTTCAAAAGATCTATGGGTGTGGGTGTTGCGTCGAAGTGAATGTTAGGCGCGTGTGAGTGAGCAGAAGGCGTACACCCATATCCACACTCTTGAAATAATAAGTGATTATTGTTCTTCGGGAGTCTCTTCACAATCAGGAGCTTCACTATTTTTTTTTTCACTTTCTAAATAAGTCAACATTTCGAGTCAATTACTGATTAGTTACAAGTCATTGCATAGGATTAAAACTAAACGATTGAAATTCGAATTGAATTCTCTTTCTAAATTTATTCCTCAGACTGTTTTACAGGCTCATAAGTAATAGCTATGAGAAAATAGTAAAATAAACCGTAAATATTGTTTAAATTTAGTCATTCGTAACTTGTTGAATTAGATAGTCAGATAGTTTTAACTTTCCATTGTTTTCACAGAACTTAACTTCTATTTAATTGTGCATTACAATAAGAGATAATCAATATCTATCATCGCTTTTCGAAAAGTTATTCATTATGTGAGATAACATTTTCAAAAAAAAAATCGTCTATTTATTTCAAATGCCATAGATATATAAAAAGAGAAGTTGATCGGATATTTTAGGGGTATGAGTGTGGGTGGTTGGTGATCTAAAGAACATCTACATCCACATCCATTTCAATTTGGGATCTCGATTTTTTGTTTGAGAAAATATTTGATCATGTCTATCATCATTTACTTAGAGCAAAATACTTCCTCTTCTCAATTTATACTTTTATGTGATTGCAAGTATCAGAATTCTGGGAAAAGTTTCATTTTAGCTAATGCGAATATGTAAAGCTACAGTGACTGGCGGAATCCGTTCTCTATATTAAGCTTTATTATTAGTATTAGAACTCTGCCAGACAGTGTAGTGAGACATATTCTTGAAAATATAGTTCCATGGATTTCTCTTCTGAGTGAGACATCTGAATAATGGAGACAATCGGTTATATCACTGTAGATTCTCCAAGTGTTCACCGGATGCGGGTACCAATCATACTCTGCCATCCATACCCATTCGACTCGGTTGCACAGGACACTACCTTACATAGCTTTAATCTCTTTTTATGAAACAGATACAAGTTACATTTTGTCCTATTTCATTCATACAATTCTAATACACTGATTGATCTTCTCCTTTGTACGTACAATAGAGAAATGTATCAATACTTTATGTAAGTCATGAAAATTTCAATAACGGATATAAATAGACCATCAAACGAGTCATACTCAATTGTTATTCGGTATCAATAAACAAATAAATTCCTCGTTCGAAAAGTTTAAAGTGTTATACAGTTAAATCTCCAAATATGTGTTAAGAGATTCTATAAAACTTGCATGAGTACGTTCAGTCGTAATGGATCTAACGTGAACTCGAACATTAAAGACGAATGCTTGTCTTCTACGACGATGAATATGTTCCATAGTAAATTTACCAGCTAAATAAAAAACAGCGCAAATTGATCGAAACAAAAATATCTATAAAAACTTTGAAAACATCCATCAACAACTTCAGCGTGTAGGATGGATTTGAGCTTGCACATGACAACCTCATACATACGAAACAACCACCCTACACCCACATACTAACACCCACTTCACTCCCACTCCGATTGAAATCGAATTATGACTGGATAAATCGATTACTGATTACGTCGTCTTCAATCATTAAAATCATACACAATTAATTGAGTAATTATGATTCAGATAGAATAACAAACAAGCAAATCAATCGTCTCTTTCTAAAAATAAAACATCTTCTATGATTGTTGGTTTACAGAATGAGTTGTAAGTCTTTATTTGATTCGACTGCTTCTTGAAGTTTAGCTTTGCCCGAATCGGATATATTGCAAAGTCTTACATCGAGAACTTTCAACGATCGATTATGTTTGATCATTTCAACTAATAAATCGACGCTCGAATCACTCACAAACTTATTTTCAGCCATCTCCAATTGTTCCAAAGTTGTATTATATTTCGTAAGTGCATCAGCTAAGTAAAGTACTCCCCGATCGCCTATTTCATTAGCTTGCAATTGTAAACGAGTTAATGTATGATTTTTCTGAAGCATCACACCCAGATCCTCTGCACCAACATCTGTAAGACCAATCGAATTAAGACCGAGTACTTCGAGAGTTTTATTGTTTGATGTGAGTATCTGTGCGAGAGAATATATACCCTTATCAAATAAACGATTATCATGCAGATATAGTGTATGCAATTTTGAATTGTCCCTCAATGCCGAAGCTAAAATTGACATGCCTTCTGAGGTAATTTCGTTGTCGTGTAAGTCAAGAAAAGTGCATTGTCTCTTCTGAATTGCATGTTTAACGACAACTTCCATGTCTTGATCACTTAATTTTTGACTATTTAATTGTACTAATAAATTATCTTCATTACATGGAAATTGGTCGATTTGATCTTCAAGTATTGGATTGGAATAGTTTGAAGTCATAATCAATATAAATTCTACAATGAGACAGTTTATTTTCATTTTAATAAATTCATATGCGGAAAGTATAAAAAGGCTTATTGCCATAATTCAAAAGAAGATGTATTCTATTTTTTTTAACGGATGAATACATATTGAAAATATCTCTACCTTAAAATTGAATTGATTGAAAAGATTTCTATTGATTTAGTTCAGCGAGAGAAGATTTTATTGTTCAAAATATATTTAGAAGCAGAATATTTTATGAAAAATCATTGACAAGTATCATTTCGGGTCGATTACTCGTTTTTTTTTCTCATCTCTAAACATATCAGGCATGAGAACATTAATGTGACAAATCAAGAAAATAAAATTCTACAGACGAGCATTGCACAGGAATCGATTTCAAGAATTTTTTATGCTCGGCGTAATCATGAGCATAAAAAAAATGATTTTGATCATACTCTTTACTGCAAAAAATGCTCGAGAAAATGTTGATGCTGCAACTGTTGACACTGTTGCAATCATCACAACAACAGAATGGAAGAAAGAAACAACTATTGAATTCTCTCCCTTCTGCTTGATTTAAATAGAAGTAAATGGAGATAAAAGAAGAAAATAAAAGAAATACAGAAAGAGAATCAGTCTCAAGCGAAATCTGAATCCAAGTTTGTCGATTGTTGGGTAGCATGTAAAAAACAATTAAAGATTGTGCAATAGATTCCAAAATATTCCTCCCCTATACACGTGAGCACAGATGATATGATAGACTCTTTTAAAAACGGTCCTTATTTTAGAACTAATTTGGGATGAATATAGCTTTTATATTCTTCTGTATTTTCATGTTTTAACGACCCAGCAAAAAGAATTACTTCAGAGAAAAGCAATTTTTTCTATTAAATGCATTAATTGTGTTTAGTTTCATGTCTTTTTTTCTTGTTCTTTTTGGCTAATGCCATATTCTTATGTAAATTTCACATTTTAGTCTTACAAGAATATGTATCGGCAAGGTTTCTTATTCGTAACTATTGACAATCGAGAAAGTACTCGACTAAAATAAGAGATAGAATAGTTTACAGTAGTTAAGTTAAGAAATTGATAGTGTCATGTTTCGATTTGTCATCAAACAATATGATTATTACACCTTGATCGACGAATCGATTGAATGTGGTACTTCGAGTGCAGTATGATATTCATTTCTACATCTCAATCGACGTATTAGTCAGCATTTCAATGGTATGCCACACTTAATGATTAGGACATGTTTGACTTGATGATAATAGCGTGTTGATGAAGTGATGAAAATATAAAAACTTGCCTAAATCAGTCAATAAAACATTATCTAGAAAGCGAATAAAATATAGCTTACTGAGTAGTTCACGTAGATAACTAAAATAGTGATTTACGTGACGTAGAAGATTTTAATAGTTGATATAATTGATTGATCGACATTGAAGGATATATTGAATATATAAAGTCGATAAATAGTGTAGTGTTCAGTAGGAATTTGTCGTCGAACGATCGTCATTTTATTCTCGTTTATGTTCGTATGAGCCGATCAGATCTTTATAATCGTTACTGGCTAACTGTCGTTGACGCGATATACATTACGTTGATTTCAAAGACACATTTTTTTTTAATATATATGTCATCTGCAAACCTTTTTTCTTGATAAATAGATTCCAGAGAAAATTTCTCTCATAGTTTCATTTAATCAGTAACACGTTCTCGCTGCATATGTTTTGCACCAGAAAACCAACTGTAGAATACGATATCCGATGGTCTCTTTTGTGCGCTCAAACATTAATATCGAATGTTTGGGCCATAAAGATAGTTCAAGAGTTCATTGGTAATCTATTGCTAAAGTTTGAGTGATACATCAGAAACAAAAACGCACAATATATTGACATCTTTGGATCTCTCTCTTTCAGTGTTTGCGTCTAATAAATTTAAAAGAGGAACTAGCACATTTCGAAAAAAAGAGTCAATAAACCATACCAATAAGACTGTTCTTTAATGACTATGTCATTCAATGTTGACCTGCTCATGTAGGAGATTTCTTGTTATTGATTCAGTACTCATCATTAGAAACAATATGTATCGATCGTGTAAGAGTATTGAAACTAAAATTGAATTTTTGTTTTTCTAAACAATTCAATTCATCATTACTAAGGAAGAAGGATAAAATGATGATTCTATACAGTTCAATCAAGACTGATTAAAGTTGGAAATAACAGTTTCCAAAAATATAAAAATGATTGCTGTCTTCGTCGTAGTGTGTTGTTCAATTATTTCTTTCTCTTTTTCCCTCTCACAGACACATGCGTCGTTACATGAAATAGAACGAAAGAAAAAAAAAATGATTTCAGAGGAAGAAAGAAGACAGATAGCAGTAGTTCTTGTTGTGAAAAAAGAGTTTAAAAAGATTTGCCTGGGTGAATACGATATCCGACATCGCCCATAGTAAGTTTCTTTTTGCACTCTACCTAATTATATTCCATATGAGCCGAATCGACAATATCAACTCATAAACAGGCAAATAATGACTTGATTCATCTGGAGTCGTTCACGGGAATAGTTCCATTCAAGTTCTAAATCAATGTGACACATGAAAGAGATATTAGATCGACTTCCTATCGAAGTATTTTTCTATTCGGTTTCATTGTTCAAA